TCAGCGGCAGATAAATTACGCGACGCAGAAGCGATACAAAAGTGACTGATTCATTTGAAGTTGGATCAGTTATCATGAAAGTGTAAGGAAGGGTCTATGCAAAATTAAGGTGGTATTTTTCCTGTGGCAGACACTTGCTTTTACATGTGCCTGCCCAGTTCCCTTGTTTTGCCACTGTTGTTAGGGGTTTCAAGTTTTGACTTGAAAGTACAATTTTCTGAATATTCAATCTCATTCACAAATCACCACTGTCACAGCTGAGACCCCTTTTATACATTAAACACATACAGTAATAGAGCAAGGTGCTGCAATTAAAATATGCCCAGATGACATGAGGTTTTCACGCTAAGGGTGGGTGATTGATTCCAAAAGTATTCTAGCGTCAATAAGGTTGATACCAAAAGCACAGCCCCAGGGTTTACAAAGATCTGCCAACTGTTAAAGCTCCAAAATGAGGCCTCCTCTCTGTTCCTTTTACAAAACTGGACGATCACTTGTTTTGTTCTCCACTGGAACTTTACATGTCCACATCAGCGTCACAGCATCTCATTAACATGGAGCAACTGTTCATGCTGAAGCTATTAGATCTAAACAGTGCAGGAGCCGCTTTCATGGAGAATGAGTCATTTCTGGGAAAATACTGACCTGTGTAATGAAAAGTCACAAGTAAGTAGTTAGTTGACTAAAATAATTCTTACACAACATTGGTTTATCAACCTGTATTCATGCATCATACATTTATAATTCACAGCTGCAGTAATTAACACTATGCAAGTCTGAGTATGATGAGTTTGATGTCAGACTTGTGGAGAAAGTAAATGAGAAGATGAAACTGATTCAGTACCAGCAGAGGAACCAGTTGACACAGACAAGTAGGCTATAAACTCTGAGAAGCAACTGTTCAAGTCTGACATTGTAATGTAAATCCAATCAAAACACAAGACTGGAACCTGCTATTAAATAACTGGCAGATGACGGAACCATTCAAACAGAGAATAAACCTAACAGCCATTATTAATGTATCATCATCTTGTGCAGTTTAAAGGCTGTTTTCATTAGTAATGTTTGTAAGCACAGTAATAAAATGGCCAGTTTCAGTTCTGCTGAGAAATATGTGATGCTGATTTCACATTTATAAGTGAAACTGCTCTTAAGTTTAAGCAATTTGTTTGAAGACCACAATTGCTAATCCCTGGACTTAGTGTGAGAGATTATGCTATGATCCTAAGGTGGCATTAGTTGAAATCTCTTAAAACTTCAAATGCTGCTTGAGGTGATCAGACATATTCGCCCAGTAATTAACTACCGTGAACCTGAAAACAGAGTTCTCTGCAGGCCTCCCTGTTTCATGTCACCAATTCAGGATCATCCCCATCTCCCCTAAATTAATGACAACTTGCCATTATAGGTGGCTATCTCCTTATACCGTCAGATGTCACAGTACCGGGGTTTTGCAGGAGCCAATATACTTTGTCTCTTTGAGGAAGTGTTTAGTTTGGTCTGAAATAGCCCATAAAAGCTGTGACAAATGTCACATTAGACCCCAACTTGTGTATTAACTGATATTAGTTACCATTTCAGAATCAGACACCCATTTTGCAAGATATAATCTACATTGAGCAGGTAATTAACAGACTTATTCAGAATTTGTTTACTGATTTCAAGATTGAGTCAACAGTTTGGTTTAAAGGTTAATCATCTCTGTTTTACTTGCAGTGATTCCATTCAGTTTAGAGTAACTGATGTAGAGTAGGTTTTACCCACCCATTATTCTACAACAACAGCCAGACATTGATAAATTAAATAATTAACAGAATGCTGTAAAGAAATGCCTCACGGTTGGCAAATTATTTGATGGTGAAGCAGTGCCCCATTAATAATGTATTCACCTCATAAATCATGACTCCTTTACATCTTAGTGTTTTTGATGGTGTGTGTTTGTGGGAGGTCTTATGACTTGTGTGACAATTTTAATGCATAGCATTTCTTACGCTAAGCACCTTACAACATTTGTTTTTAAAAGCGCTATATAAAAATAAAGTTGCCTTTGCTTTATAGTACATAAGCTGCTTTCAACAGTGAAGAGCATTGTATCAGTGAGCCGAGCCTGGTATCACTTGGAATCAGACAAATGAAATTTGGTGGCATTTCCCCAACTCTACCTTTTCCGCTGATATTGTAAGCCTTTCTTTAGCCAAGGAAAACTAAGAAAGGCCCATACAGCAGCAGTGCATCAGGAGACTAGACTGCCACAATGCCATGTGACTGAGAGGGGCGGCAACACCTCTAGGCTGTTATTAATTACAAAGCTTTTTACAGAATAGTAACATTAGCCCAATTAGCACAGCTCCACAGAATCTGGCTCCCTCTAAAAACTTCTCCAAACCAGCCCGCTAAACACAGAGACGTGGCAACAACACGAGTGAAGACATCTGATGGGAGTCTGAAGTGAATGTACAAGAGACGTCCAGAAAAAAAGACAGCGGATACTTTCATTCTGCTTACTCAGTGGACCACCTTTTCAACATCTGACTTGGACCTCAATTAGGAGTCCTTAGGATGTGTCTGTGCTTGCTGGGAAACAACAAAATAGATTGTAGGTGTAAGTCGATGGAAACAAAGTAAAGTGTAAAATGATGCAGTAACTTAAAATAATGCTTACTGACAGATGGATAAATCTTGAAAGTCTTCAGGATCGTCTTT